TATATATATATATATATATATATATATATATATATATATATATACATATATATATATAATTTATTTATGTATTTATTTTTGAGTATTTTTTTGAGTATTCTTTACTTTGTGAAATTTTAAGGCAGCATCACTTATCCTTTGTGCAGAAGACAATCCCAAGATGCATTGTGACAGGATCAGTGAATGAATTCATCAACAATTCATCAAGACCATATTGAGTTGGACATGATTTCAACAAACAGTTCAGAGCCATTCTGAAAACCCACCAAGTAGTTGATTTTGAGTATGTGTAGTATTTATGTGTCAGTAAACAGGTAGCATTTTATGGGGAAATAACCTCAGGGCTGCCACCACCCCAGTACATATGCTCATCATCCATCTGTTTCTCTTTCTGTTTGATCCTTATGGCAGTTGAGAGGTCAAAGTCGCAACAGGTGCGGAGTACAGGTGCTATCAGACGGACTTCCTCTCTGGGCGCTATCACCGGGCCCTACCTGATAGGGCAGTGGCCACGTGAATCCCACCTGCACAACCCCTCATGCATGAAAGACAAGTCCACACAGGTAAGCACTTTCACCCTCTGGCTTCAAAGCCTGTGTGTTCAGGTGTGTTTGCAAACGTTAGCTTGACAGCATTTATAGATCCATCATTCTTCTGAGTTTTTTGCGTGTTTGCTGTGTCACTGAGGAATTTTTTTGTGTGATTTCTGTAAGCTGATACCAACACAATAGGTGTAAGCACTCACTGTGAAAATAAGAAATCCAAAAATTCCAGGGATCTACTGATCTACAGCCAGCTTGTTTCCATAATGACCAACTCAATCTACCAAGAGCAGTGCAAATAAGTAGCTATTGCAGCCGTGTCAAGTGCAAAATGAGTAAAGACATGGTTTTTGGCTTTAAATAATGGTGCAAATACCAGTAAACTGACTATGGCAAAACTTTGTAAATCATGCTGTATGATTTATTTAAATACTCTCCTCTTATAAATTTTGCATTTGAAAGTGAAACTCCTACAAATGCATAATACGCATTAATGTCAGTCGCAAAAATAACTGTCCACATATTTTCAGCGCTAATTTTTCACTGCATGTCTTTTTAGTAAATCCTAACAGTATTTATTTTTTTAATGACAAAAAAAAGGTTTGTAGTGGTGCAAGCTGTCCCTTAATATTTTAAAGCAGTATTCATATTATAAATAAATTATCTTTAAATCCTTCATTGGTCTAAAGTAGGGCTGTGCGATTAATCGAAATCGAATCTAAATCGCGATTTGAGACGTTGCGATTTCCTAATCGCAAAGCCTGCGATGTGGACACGATATTACTCTGTTTCAGAGCATATGTATGACTGCCAGCCTTGAGTTGCAATCTTACTTGCCCAAGAGAAATGACAGACAACGAACAAAAAAGGTAATTTGCAAGAGCTGCGTCACAAAATGCATATCAAAAGCTCCCTTATCGGTTCTGTTTTCAGTACTGGAGAATAAAAGATACATTCTTAGATGTTTTTGTTAGTACGTGAACGTTATCTTACACATTTGATCTCCCCAAAAGATTAATTTGAAATAAGTTTATAATGCATGTTGGCTATTCCCAATTCAGAAGAGCGCACACACAGCCTGTGTTTGTGAATGCTTCTCATACTCGCTCCTCTCTGCCCCACGCGGCGCGAATCCCGCTTCACGGACGAGCCATTCCGGGTCCGCACCGCTAGTCTTCACGAGCGCATCTGGCAGTATGGATGAGGCTTGACGCACGCGCGCAACCTGTGTCGACTCGCGCCTGGCTCCGCGTTTAAAACGAATGTAAATTCAGTCTAACTGCTTGCTAATTTCACTTGGATGAAATGAAACATTCAGCACATTTTCCACTTGCTCTTAAAATTAATAAATCAATGTAATACTTTAATAATTTACTTAAGGAATACAGTTCTTTATTTATAAAAAATAAACAAATATTTTCTGTGAAATTCAGTAATTAAGTTAATTCTGTAAAAGTAGTTATACCATTATAATATTGCCTGCTGAAGAAAAAAACTATAGAACCCCTCCCAAAACACAATAACAAATTTAATGGATTCCAGGGTTTTAATGGGAATTTGTTTAGTTTTAATGTAAACTATAATGGTGTCTATTTGATGGATTGTATTGGTGGGATGTAATCTGGCAGATGGCAACCAATAGAACAACAGTAATTCCTATTGGAATAATGCCCAAAACAAAAAGGAATTTTGTAATGGTTTAATGGAAACTATAAGAATTTCTGTGATGGTTTCTATTGTTTTTTTCAGCAGGGTAATGATACCCATACTGTGCTGCACATTATTGAAAATATTGAGCTGAAGCTTGACTTTGCAAATATAAAATCGCAAATCAAATTGCAATATCTGTCAAAAAAATCGCAATTTGATATTTTCCCCCAAATCGCACAGCCCTACACTGTAAAAAAAATTCCGTAAAATGTACGGTAAAAAACCGGCAGCTGTGGTTACCGGAATTTTACCGTAAAAAATACAGTAGCAATGTTTTAGGTTTTACAGTTTTAACTTAAATTTACAGTTAAATACCATAATTTCATTAACTGATGTAATGCTATTATACCAACCTTTTGAAGTACTGAAATCTGTTTTGTACCTTTGTAATACACTGATAACCACCAAATGCAGACAGTCACATGATGAACCAAAGCCCATCACAAGCAGCTTTTATATAATAACATATATAGAAGGTGCACAGGGTCATTCACACAAACACTAAACACCATCATGGTAACACACATGAAACTGAAATAATGCAATAAACATTCATTTAACAACATTAGGTGTAACACACAACCCTAATATACAAAACTAATAAGAAAAAACTGAGAAGAAACATAATTATTTCAACAAAAAAACATCAAATTTGAAATGTAACGCAGGGAATTCTGGGAATGTCAATTTACGGTTATTCACTGTAAATTATACAGTATTTTTCACTTCCAAAAACAGTATACTACCGTAAAATTTATGTCCAATACATGTAATGTCCAATACAGTTTTTCACCGTACATAGTAGGGGAATTTACCGTTAACCATTTAACAGGTTTTTACTGTAGCATTTTTACAGTCTTTTACCGTTAAATTCACGGTCATTTTTTACAGTGTAACTAAGGTGTGAGAACATTCAAAGAAGTATAGATTTGTAAACTGTAGTTACTGTACTTTTAGCATTTGTCATGAAAGAGGTATTGACACTAAATAAAACCATTAACCACAGACTGGTAACCAACAATTTCACAACTTACACATGGGGTCTGGTATTTGACCCACAGCTGAATTGCAGAAATCACTCCGAGACCGTAATGCATCATCAGAGGCTGTAATGATCAGCAGTTGTGACTGTAATGGAGTTCAGTGTTCAGTGGTGAATTAATGAACAAAAGCTGCCTTGTTTTCTGCTGTCTTCTGAGGCAGCATCCTAACTGCCACGGAATCTCATAAGTTACTACACAGGGAAGAACACAGAAAGCACATTTCACATATAAAGCACACACAAGACTCTTAGTTGAATCAGTAGAATCACCACAATGAATATAAATTAAATCTTGATTAATCTTATTAAAGTTACAGAAGTTATTCAGTCAAGAGCAACGAGTAATTTTTTCTTTGTCTTTTTGTTGTTTGATCAACATTAAGGACACAGAAAGCAGGTATATTAGGCTGCTGTCACTTTAAGGCCTAATGCATGGATCTAATATACTGATACACCGTGTTGGGGAAAGTTAGTTTTAAAAGTAATGCATTGCAATATTGTGTTATTCCCTAAAAAAGTAACTAATTACTTTACTTAGTTACTTTTTATGGAAAGTAATGCGTTATGTTACTTTTGCGGAAATGTAAATTCACATCTGTACAGTAGAGGGCACAGCTCAAACCATTCTGGATTGCATGAAGAATAGGACCCAGGAGACGAACGTTCAACCCTCTTTAGCAATAATTAAAAAAAAATGTTAACATTTATCTATAATTTTTGCTTATTAGTATGGTTGAATTGGGTCATCGAAGGTCAGCAGCAAAGACAATAAAATGGGATTAAATGCATAAAGGATATTCGTGTTATTTAACATATTTAATTATTATATTTATTATTAATTATTACAGGAGAGCTGTCAATAAAAAATAATGAGAAAACAAAGTAACTGGCGTTTTAACTCAGATATTTTCTCGTAAATTAAAAAGTAATGTGTTACTTTACTAGTTACTTGAAAAAAGTAATCTGATTACATAACTTGCGTTACTTGTAATGCGTTAGCTCAACACACGTTTTCCTTCTCAACACTTTATGTTCACTTAATACAAAACTGACTGTGTTTATGAGGATACTCACCACGGCGGGTTCAAGTGCAAGAAGGCATGAAGGAGAACTCGGTTCGGTATTTGTTTGTCTGAGGTGGTTTTCAGACAAAAGAAAACATAGGATACGAAAGTCCCAAACTTAGTTCTCTTTCGTGTGGTCTTGCACTCAAATGGTTTAAAATTGTTTGAATGTTCAAACTTACATGACATAAAAACACAACTTTGTAACTTTGCAGCGTGGCTGATCAGGCCAGTGACAAATCCATCAACTCTCCCGAGCATCTTTCACGCCGGTCCCAGACCATCAGCCAGTCCTTGTTGTTCACATCTTTGAGGTCATTGCAGGTCAAGTGTAATCAGTCAATTTGAGGTGTTAGTTACAGAGCAAGTAGCATATTCGGCAAGTCGATTACTATGGCAAGTCCCTACTGAGAACACGGCATACCTCGCACACCTGGTCTACGGTCACGTGCTGATTTACCCTCAAATGTCAGCAGGTGTATCAGGAGGAACACAATCACCACAATTCTACAGTTCCACCCACCATCTGCTGCTACACTAAAGGTGAGATTTGGCACCTGCGGGAGTGCAGTGTGTCTAAAGGTAATGATTCTGCCGTGCCTCTTATTGTGTGCTTCAGCATGCAGCGAGTGTCATATTAACCGTTCAGAAAGACGAGATGCCGCAGGAATGTCGTTCCCCGTGTTTACCGGCCTCCACCGTTACCCCCAGTTTTTGAAAGACAGCTACATTGTGCATCTGTTCAGAATGTTCTTATTCTGTATAGGCCAGTTCACACCACACTGACAGGCAACGACCAACGGCAACAGGCACAACAACTGTTGGTCTTGTCTGTCAGTGCAATTAGCCTTATGTATGAAAATCTGTTGGAATTGTATTTGTGCTTTAAAGGAATAGTTCACCCAAAATGAACATTGTGTCACTATGTACTTAATTTCATGTAGTTCAATGTTATCTTCTAAGCAAAGCAAAAGGAGATTTTAGGCAAAGAGCCTAAACAAATGGTGATTTATCCCACTAAGTACCAAAAAAGGTGAAAAAAATAGTATGCTACCCTCTTAAAAATAAAAGTTATTATTGGCATCTCTGGTTCTATGAAGAACTTTCAACATCCATCCAGTTTGTGTTTTTACATGTCATTCCGTAGTTGATCACATGACCCATGAGAACCAATAGTGTTTGCCCTCTTTGACATAAAAATAAAG